CAATCATCACACAAGAATACAGGCCAGTGTAACCACAATCAGTAGTGGTACACGCACCCACACAGAACTGCTGATACTGCTGCTGCTGTCTGCATTACCCTTCTTGTTATTTGCGAGTTCAGGAGGAAGTGTTGTTGTGGTGGTGGTGGTTGATTCTTCATTATTGGTTGTATTGACGGTATCTCTCATTGCATCACCTTCTGTAGGTGCAGATAAAGTTTCTGTAGTAGACTGAACACCATTTCCCTCTGCTTGTTGATTCACGTTATTCTCTTCATTCCCTGTACTACTGACTGCATTAGTTGAAGATGCTTCAGTTCTCCCTGCATTCTCAGTCCGCTCTCCTTGTGGGTGAGATTCCTCTTGCTCTTCTGCTTTCTCAGCAGCAGTTTGGCTTCCCTTCCCTCGTCCATCAGCTGTAGAGCCATCCTCTTCCCGTACCCCAGGTCCCAACGCTCCTTCTTCATTCTCGGTGTGAACATTACCACCTGGTCCAGCCTCACGTGATGGAGAAAGACTTTCAACACCAGCACCTCGACGCTCTTCAGTAGAAGTAGGAACACCAGATTTTTCAGTATCAACTCCTGGATTGTTGACATGCCTCCCTGTGTCTTCTTGGACTTGTTTTTCTTTCGGTCCTGGTTCGGTGAGTTCATTTTTCGTATCGCTGCTAACACTTCCCTCTTCTCGATGGTCTCCATTTGTGTGGATCACTGGACTATGCGGCTGTACCAGTTCCTGTGATGGATCACGGTTAACATGATCATCATTATGTTCTTCACCACCACTTTCTAAACACTCAGAAGTATCAGCACCAGGTGGTGAATGAGGTGGACATGAAGAAGTCTTAGATTTCCCAATACCAGGAACAGGTAAACCATCAGAACCAAGTTCCGTAGATTTAGCCTCAAGAGCTTTACCTTCAGCTTCATCAGCAGCTACCACATAACTGCAGAGACAACAGAGTGCGATAGTGATAGCACAGAACGCTTGGCGTGCTGACATCATTACTTTTTTCCGTTGGTGTTACTATCTCCAAGAGGTGAACCAAACAAAACAAAAACAGAAAGAGGAAACAAAAATAAAGAAAAGCACATAAAGAGATCTAAACGAAAAGTGTAACGGTAACCTAAACACGGAAGACAACTGCAAACATCTCTCAGATAGGGTCCTAATGAAGCAAAAAGTACACAATACCCATTACCAAACAGATAATCCCAATTAACCCATCAAAAAAGGAAAAAGGAAATCAAAGAGTACAACCATCAGAAGCGGAAAGCACAGAAATAAATACCCCTTTCACTTTCAGTAGAACCATGTGCAAAATTATGAATATATATGCGAATTCCTTTTTAATTACTCTCTGCAGAAAACAATTCAACGCATCATTGAAACGGAGAGCACACAGCGCCCAAATAAACAAAAACGTTTGAAAATAAAATAAAAAAAGAGAAGCACCAACCGCACAAAAATAGCACAACTCTCTGGGTACACTGATCTGTTCAAGCAATTAAGAATACAAATTGTATCAATCAATTAATACTTTTTCTTTTCTCTGCACAAAGCATATCACCACAACGACCCAGCAAACCATAAGCAAACAAACAGATATCAACCATTAGTCCAATGTACCCAGTAAACACAGAAATATACACCAACTATGGGTGTAATTCTATATGTGTATTTATATACGCAATTATAAATATAAATTCATCTGTTATTATTATTATTTCCTCTTCCTCCCACTGCAAAAAACAGTTCATCATCATTATCACAGTACAAGCCCAGGCACACACACAGAGAGAGTCTCCAAGAACACACACACACACACACACAATGGAGTAGTAGCAATAATAATTATAGGATAAACACAGAGTAAAAACACACAAAAACACAATAACATTAAGAAACAAAAAAAAAAGAGAAAGAAACTCCCAACAGGTGGAAGATTAGTTAGACTGTAGGGATTGCATGCAAAAAGAAGAAAACAAAACAAAACAAAGGATGACCTGAGTCACATGACCACCACAGTATTCAGCACACAAGAATACAGGCCAGTGTAACCACAATCAGTAGTAGCACACGCACCCACACAGAACTGCTGATACTGCTGCTGCTGTCTGCATCACCCTTCACATTTGGCATTATGTTGTTATTGTTGATTCCAGGGACAGGAGGAATTATATTGGTAGTAGTGGTCGTAGAAGTAGTTGTTGATTCCTCATCACTTGGGTTATTGGATGGCTCACTCTCTGGAGATGTACTGCTACCCCCATCGTTTGCAGTACCAGAACCATTGGCAGTCTCTGTGTCTGAAGATTCGGGAGAAGGAGAAGTGGGTTGTACTGCCGCTGTACTCTCCGCGTTGACTGCACCTTCACCTGCTGGATTGTTGACGTTGGCTCCAGTTTGACCTCCAGATGGAGACGAACCGTTACTCCCTTCCACAGCAGCACCAGCAGCAATAGGAGAAGCAGCAGGAGGATGAGCAGAGCCATCACTACCACCAATAGGACGTTGGACACCGGTTCCAGTATCATCAGTCCCTTGAAGAACAGGATCACGTTCTTCACCATTCACCGGCCGTGGGGTTGCGGTAGATGTTGCTGGAATCTGTGCGAGTGGTTTTTGACCTGCGGCATCAAGTTCCACTTTTCCACCCAGTTTCTCTTGGTTCTCTCCCGCTTCACTATCACTGTTGGGAATAATAGCAGCACCAGGACCAACAACACCAGGCTCTCCACCAGAGCGATTAGGTTCCTTTGTAGTTGGAGCTGGTTCTGGTGGTTGTGGACAAGGAGTTTCAGAAGCTTTACGGCAATTTTCTTCACTCCCACCATCCTCAGTACTGCATTTCTCCTTCTCAGGTTCCAGACACTCAGGAGAATCTTCAGGTTGCTTAGGTTTATTTTCACACTTGGAACCAGTATTCTTTGAAGGACAAACTTCATCACCACCAGCAACCCCGGTCTTTAAACCTTCAACTTCTCCTGTAGCCAGCACACATCCGCAGACACAACAGAATGAGAGAACCAACACACACAACACGTGCCTCATTGGTATCCTAAGAGTTGTTGTTATTATTATCTGGGATCACTACTCTAAGCAAATAAAAAAAGAAGAGAGAACAAACACCAACGAAACGAATCACAGTATTCTACAACAAATATATAAGCATACTCAGAACAAACAAAAGAAAAACAATAACATCAACACATAACAAACAGAGATCCACAACCATGACTCAAATAGAGCCCAAATAAAGGGAACAACAAACACAGTACCCAGTAACGAACAGATAATCCCAATTAACCCCTCAAAGGAAAAAAAAGAAACTAAAGAGTACGACCATCAGAAGTAGACAGCACAGAAATACATCAAAATGCCTCTTCCTGTAGGATCAAGCACAATTACAATTTTACTTATGTATTCTTTAACATTTTTTCTCACCGCACAAAACACTCCAACACACAACAATGCGGGAAAAAACACACAGCGCCCAAGCAAAGAAAACGTGAACAAGAACACAAATTAAGAACAGGACCCACCAAAGAAAAATAACTCACAGACCACTGGGTATGCTGGTTTGTTCAAGCAATTAAGAATACAAATTACATTAATTACTGTTTTTTTTTCTATTTTCTCTGCACAAAGCATATCACCACAACAACCCAAGCAAAATCAGCAAGCAAACAAACAGATATTAACTATTGATATCAACTTAACCAGTAAACACAAGAAATACACACCAACTATGGGTATAAGTCTATATGTGTGTATATACGCAATTATAAATATAAATTCATCGGTTATTATTATTTATTTTTCCCTCTCACTTCAAAAAGCAGTTCATCGACATTATCACAGTGCAAGCCCAGGTGCACACACACAGAGAGTCTCCAAGAACACACACACACACAATGGAGTAGCAATAATAATAATTATAGGATAAACATAGAGAGAGCAAAACCACACAAAACACATTAACATTAAGAAACAAAAAAGAAGAATAGCCCAACAGGTGAAAGATTAGTTAGACTGTAGTGTGGATGTATGCAAAAAGAAGAAAAAGAAAACAAAGGATGACCTGAGTCACACCACAATCAGCACACAAGAATACAGGCCAGTGTAACCACAATCAGTAGTGGTACACGCACCCACACAGAACTGCTGATACTGCTGCTGTCTGCATCACCCTTCTTGTTATTTGTGAGTTCAGGAGGAAGTGTTGTTGTTGTGGTGGTGGTGGTTGTTTCTGTATTTTCTGCAGCACCTTCTTGGTTTTCTGTCGACTCACTCCCTGCTGATGTCGTGCTGTTCTCTGTTGTTTTAGTGTCCGCAGCACCAGTAGCATTCCCTGTCTCTGAAGTGTTGGGAGAAGGTGATGAAGTTTGTGCGCTACCCTGAGCGTTTGTTGTTTGGGTTCCGTCTGTTGTATTGATGGCATTAGTTCCTGGTTGACCTGAACCTCCAGCCCCAACATTACTAGCCTCAGCCGGTGGAGATGTAGGAGGAGAAGCAGGACCAACACTAGCACCAAGTTGACCTTGAGGACCTTGTCCATCTTTAGGGTGTTGTTGCTGCTGTCCGTTTTGTTGTTCTGCTGCTGATTGTGATGGTGCTGGTGGTTGTTGTCCAAGAGAAGTACCAGCAGTTCCACGTTCCATGTTAGCTTCCTCACATTTAGTACCACCTGTAGTTTGACCAGAAGTGCACGGAGTACCTTGAAGAAGAATCTTTGTCTCACTCTCCGTATCAGGGACTTGGTCGGAGAGATCGGCGGCAGGCACTTCTTCAGCGAGGACGTGCACACACGCACAGGAGAGCAGGAGAGCGAGGATACACAGCACGTAGCGCATCATTACCATTATAATACTTCTTGTAGTAGTCTTACTTGAATCGCTTACACACAAGAAAACCCAATAATAAAAACAGAAACAAAGTAAATCAATGAAAAAAACAAGATGAAAACAGACACCAAATCAAACATCAATCGACAATTACAGAAGAGAGACACACACATTGCAGAACACTGCAACCATAAATCAGATAATGCCCAATTAAAGTAAAAACCCAGACAGTACCCAATAACAAAAAGATAATCCCAATTAACCCCTCAAAAGAAAAATAAAAGAAACTAAAGAGTACAACCATCAGAAGCAGAGAGCACAAAAATACATCAAAATGCCTCTTCCTGTAGGACCAAGCACAATTACAAATACACTTGTGTATTCTTTATTATTTTCTCTCCCCACAAAACACTCCAATACACAACAATGCAGGAGACAGCACACAGCGCCCAAGCAAACCACAAGCAAACAAACAAAGATATTAATCATTAGCCCAACTTACCAATAAAAACAGAAATACACCAACTATGGGTGTAAGTATATATGTGTATACGCAATTATAAATATAAATTCATCTGTTATTATTATTCCATTTTCATCCACTGCGAAACGCAGTTCATCATCATTATCACAGTGCAAGCCCAGGTGCACATACACAGAGAGAGTCTCCAAGAACACACAAACACAATGGAGTAGCAATAATTATTATAGGATAAACACAGAGAGAGCAAAAACAACACACAAAACACAATATCATTAAGAAACAAAAAAAGAAGAGAATCCCAACAGGTGGAAGATTAGTTAGACTGTGGTGTGGATGTATGCAAAAAAAAGAAAAGAAAACAAAGGATGACCTGAGTCACTCCATCACCACCATTACAATCAGCACACAAGAATACAGGCCATTGTAACCACAATCAGTAGTGGTACACGCACCCACACAGAACTGCTCATACTGCTGCTGCTGTCTGCATCAC